AACTATATAATCACTCCGGAACTTATCTAACATATCCACCTCCTTTTTAAACTCTTCTATCGCCTGTTCTTGATCTTCCAAAGAGATTTCTTTCATCTTCTTTATAGCAACACACTTCCCTCGGTAAGTGCCTTTATATACAATTCCAAAGGATCCTTCTCCCAATTTGGAGTCTTCAATCAACTCGTCATAATCAAGTTTAGTCGAGTTTTCAGTGGTGGGTTCGATTTTAATGGAAACATAAGACGTCTCCCCCTTTTGAATGTCCATAGTAACTATCATAAGTTCGTCTTGTAGTTTCATTGTACAATGTGGAACTATAAATACCTCAAACTCACACGCCTCTCCTTTTTTTAATGTAACAAGTTGTGGGACTGTGCGAATGGAATATTTGTCGCATCCACCACGAGTTGTCATTTGGACTTTCATTATACTTGTTCCTTTGTATCCAATACAGAGAAGCTCTCTACTCTCAGATTCAACGGGTATAACTTCGCTCTCGTCACTAAAGGTCAACGATTTTTTGTTTGTCAAAATGTTCCCTTCTAATAAGTTCATTGCTATATTTGAGCGACTCATCTTGAAGACACAGACATTTTCTAACTTCTTATTCTCCTTGTGACGAATTAGAAATATAATAACGGCAATTACAAGAACTACAACTATCACTAGAACGACAAAAACCACTGTTAAGGGAACACCAATGTAGACTCCATAATTGGTATATGGCTGACAACTCATTTTATCTACACTTAATTTAAACCCACTCTCACAAGTGTCACAGAAACTATTGGAAGACCGAGTGCAGTGCTGGACTGCTGAAAAGTGTGAACAACCACCAGACAGTAGGATGTGGGACTCAATACAAGCAGTGCACTCATCAATACTGTCACATGAAGTGCAATTTTCTTTACATTTTGAACACTGTTGTTCGAAGACAAAATAGTCCACTTCACATTGTGTACACCCGCTCGTAGTCGTGTTGGTGCACCCAATTAACTCACTCTGTGGTAAACACAGCTTTGTGGGGTTAGATGGAATACGATAAAACGTGTCATTACAGAGAATACAACTTCCTTCGTTCGTACAACTTTTACAAGAAATGTCACAACGCTCACATGTGGTGCCATCCGCCGATCTCATGTATCCCTCTTTGCATACAACACACCCACGATATGTGGACATCAGCACATTACAGACAGAAACAAGTGCGTTAATTTCTGTGCATTTACCTTCACTATTTGCGTACGAGTACGAATCACACTTTGTACAGAAGGTACTATTTGAACAATATACACAGGGATATACACATACGACACACCCCCCATCACTCAAATAATACCCACTTTCACATCGAAGACACCCTTTACTGGTAGACTCCTGACAATGATCTGTGCTGTCTTCTTTTATTGTTGTTTTACTTATAAAATCCTTTGTTATATTATCTTGTGTTTCTGTATCGTTTGTCATAATAACACATGAAATGCCACTTAAAACAAAGCCAACTTCACATTCAACACACTTCTGTTTGAGGGAAGATATAACTCCACAATTCAATGAGAACCCACTCTTCTCTTTGCACCCATCAACATCTCGATAATACCCGGGATCACATGTAACACACACATTGTCGTATACAGCACAATGAATTGAGGTGCTGTCTGTGCACACCCCATTAACGTTGATTGAACTGCCACATTTAATACATATTTTACTGTTCTCAAGAAGGCAATGCACACTATTTGATACACATTTGGCTTTTGTAATATGGTAACTTGATGTACACTTGACAGAATCACTACCAGATTTAGTAATACAATTATCATCTTCAATACATACATCATCGCTCAAAACAGTAGTGTTACTACACTTCAAATCTTTTACTAAATCACCAGAAAATGTACAAACTGCACTACTACATGGCTCTACACTGTCCTGTCGAGTTGTGTAATACCCACTTTTTCCAGCAAAGCAGTACCCATTCCGTGAAACTTCACAATTGGCATCCGCAATACCACACAATTTGTCATCAGTACATGACAAGCAGACTGATTTATCTGCTGTGGTGGCCGTGTATTTGCATTTGTCTCCACTTGTGCACTTTCCAGTTGAAGTAATAGTTTCTGTGACACAACTTTCACAGCCGTGTGTGGAATATGTTGTACAGTCTGTGCTCTTGTTATTGCAGACTCCACTTATTAACACGCAGTTTGAGGTACACAAATAACACACATCATTTACTTGGTGTGTACACCCATTTATGTTATCTTTCTTTGTTGCACTACTATTGTTGTAGTGTGTTGTGTCCGTGTAAGCAAGTGAACACGACTTTTTTCCTGCTGTTACATAATAAGGCGGGAAGCATACATTACAGACCTGCTCATTGTTAATATAATCACCTCTTTGACACATTGGAATGGCATCATAGATGTTTACACACGTCGTATCTGTGCTCTTCACCTTTCCACTTTCACACGAAATACACGTGTCGCCATTGACTATTAAATTGCCTGAACATGAAAGACACTCTTTTGTTTTCTGTGAGCACTTTATACAGTTTGGGTGAAGTGATGAGCACGGTTGACACTCTCCAGTACTTTCTCGGTAATACCCTTCTTTGCATTCAGAACACACCCGACTGCTCTCGACTGCATTTTCATCACAAAAAGCACAGTTGCCTGTTGAGCAACATGAGACACATATGTTGTTCATTTTCTTTTGACCATCTTCACATGTGGTGCATGCCCCACTTTTTCTATCACATCGTTGGCATAGGGTGGAACATTGCTGGCATTGTGTTGTTCCACCAAGGGAATACTTCAGCTCATCGCATTGTACACACGCCCCATTGCTATATCCATACCCACTTGTACAACTCTTGCATTTCCCACTTATAGCATCACAACTTGCACATGATATATCACACATTTTACACTCTGTCTGGCCCTCGACGTCTTGATACGTCATTTCTTCACAACTGACACATCGTGAAAACAATGAACGTGTTCCACTCAAACAAATAAGACACTTTCCTGATGACAAACCATACCCAGAAACACAACTAATGCAGTTACCATTGGTGGATATACACCCAACACATTTTGAGTCACATGATGAACATGAAGAAGCACCCGAAAGAGAGTAAGTCATCTCACCACAACTTTTACATTCAGAATACATACTCCCAGAGTATGTGCCCGGTTGGCAATTGTCACACGTTTTCGTGTTTTGATTCGACTTTGTACCCGCTTTACACTCAACACAAACACCACTCGAAAGTACTGTACCATCAACACAACTCAAACAGTTTCCAGTTACTTTATCGCATGGTCCACGACACAACTTGCTACATGTTTTACAGATTTGTGAGCCTTGGGTGTTCGTATATGTGCCATCAACACAATTGGAACATTGAGTACTCTTCTGTGTTGATGAATAAGTCCCAAGCGGACACATCTCACAAAGAGAACTTGGCGTACTGTAAGTACCTGCAACACACGTCAAACAGGCCATTGATGATATACCCATCCCTGCTGCACATGAAGTACATTCACCTGTTGTTTTGTCACAACTTTGACATGTCGAATTGCAATTTTCACAATATGGACTCGCCTCTTTATCAGTGTATGTCATTTCAGGACATGCAAGACACTCCCCATTTGAAGAGTATTTGCCTTTGGCACATCCTCCACAACTTCCATCTTTAAGTGCAAACCCAGCAAAACACGATGTGCAATCGCCATTCGTTTGATTACATGTGTTACAACTTGATGAACACATTGAACACTTTGATGACCCAATTAACGAATAACTGTTTGTCTCACATTTGGAACACAAAGAAGTCCCTCCTATCGAGTAATACGAAGCAGGACATATAGAACATCCTGTTGATTCCGAAAATGAATAACCCAAATTACACGAAGTACACTTTCCCGTTGTAGACATACAGGTCTTACAACTTATGGATGTGCAACTGACACAAACGGATGTTCCAGTTGTGGGTGTATATGTCCCAACCAAACAAGCGGTGCACTGGGAAGCACCTCCATTTGAATAATATCCCAACGGACACAAAGTACAATCAATTGTTCCTGTGACATTTGTATATTGTCCACTCTCACAATTTTCACAAGTTGAAGATCCTTCAGTGGAAGCATGTGTACCAGTCGCACACGCATTACATGAGGTAGAACCTTCACTTGATGTAAAGTGTCCTTTTGGGCATTTAAGACAAGAACTCGATCCTTTTAAACTTGAGTATGTCCCAAGAGGACACTTGGTACATACCGATGCTCCTGTATTTGAATAATACCCCGCACTACATTGAGTACAATTAATAGTACCAAGTGTGTCTGCATAAGTCCCTGATGCACATGAAGAACACGTCGATGAACCCGTTGAGGAGGAGTATTTCCCTGTTGGACACTGAGTGCACGTGGACACCCCACTCCCTGAATAATACCCAGCAGAACACTTGACACAAGAAGTCCCATCTGAGTTTGAATATGTCCCAGCAGGACAGATAATACATTTAGTAGCATTTGCAGCAGATATGTACCCCAAAGTACATTTGTTACATGATACACTTCCAGCAGAAGTCGCATAATATCCCGCTGCACACCCAGTACACTGTGAAGACCCCTCTGAAGATGAAAAACTTCCAGAAGGACAAGCGTCACAATTTGTACGATTATATTGCTGATTGTAATATCCAGCAGGACATTTGTAACACGAAGAAAGTCGTGTTGTATTAGAAAATGTGCCAGGACTGCAAGATGTACAAGATCCAGACCCAAGAATTGAATACGTCCCAGCCCCACAATTTTCACAGGAAACTCTATTCACAGAATACGTCCCTGCTGGGCATTTAGTGCACTCTATTGCACCAGTTACAGAAATGGAACCAGTTGAACAATTTGTACATGTTGGAGAACCAGCAGTCGCGGCATAAGTTCCTGCAGAACACATAGTACATATAGAAGAACTCATAGAAGATGTATACCCCGCAGCACATTTTGAACATGAAGAAGCCCCATCGACTGAGGAATAAGTTCCTGGTTGACAATCAGAGCACCAAATTGACTTTGCTTCTGAATATTGGCCTTTAACACAAGTTGTACAAGATGTACAAGTCAGTCCAGAGTAAGTTCCTGCAGGACATGTTGTACAAGACGTTGCAGAATCTTTAGAGTAGGTCCCATACGGACACGCCGTACAATACGAATTGTCACTGTTTGTGTACGTTCCAGCTTTACATTGGGTACATGACGTTGGATATGGATATGAAGATGAAACATACCCAACTGCACATTTGGTGCATGATGTGGCGCCTGTAGTGGATGAATAATACCCCGAACTACATGGAGTACAATACCCAACACTCCCAACTGAATAAGTACCTGCAGCACACTTTGTACAAGAAGTTGCACCAGAAGACGCGTAATACCCCGAAGTACACTTTTTACATGAAGTCGAACCACTAGTCGAAGTGTATTGCCCCGCCCCACAATGGTCACAATAATAAGAACCCGTGTTTGCCGCAAAAGTACCCGGAGGACACGCGTTACATCCACTGTGGTTGTCATTCACCATCGTGCCAACAGGACAGTCCTTGCAAGATGTTGCGCCCGCAGGAGCATATGACCCCATAAAACATTCCATACAACCGTCCATAAAAGGAATTTGACCTGCTGGACATGCAGACTTTAACGTGGCGTATACAGTCAATAAAATAAAAAGAAGAAGAAACAACATCAAACTTCAATGCAATACATTTATTGTTTTTATTATCTTATTGGTCCCTTTCAAAATGAAAAGAAATTGAAAGCAATTTCTTTGTATCCCAAAAACATATTTTAAATCAATTCAATTATTTTTTAATTATTAAAAACACGATACTATATGGAATTTATTAATTATTACATTTATGGGAATTCGTTTACTTACAAAGGCACCCGATGTCAAAGGAAATTTGGGGCAAATTAGAAGTACGACAAATAGTTATATAACAATTGAGAGTTTTTGTTGGGTGGGATAACTTTTCGATAAACATTTGCGCCGATTTTGTAGTAAAATACGGGAGATTTCCTAAAATATTATTTTTGATTAGACAAAAAAATTTAACTGTTTTTTTATTATAAGTTATTAATAATATTATCATATAATAATAGTAATAATAAAAATATTGGTGCTAAACATGATTGAATCAATCTTTTTTTGACAAGAATTGTTGTGGTTTTATCGGTTTTATTTTTTTTTAATTTGGTTGATCTAATTAAATTAAAGCTAGAATAATCATAAAAATACCTCCATTTAAAACCCATTTCCGATAAAAAAATGGTCAAAAACAATCTATGGAAATATTTTGATTTTCTAATTATACTTTGAAAAAATGAATTATTCAATTAAAAATAATTCAGTTTTACAAAGTTGATTAAACCAAAATGTTTTAATTTTAATATAAATTTTTTAACCAATCTAATACTATTAAAACAAAGGATCTAATAATATTTTAAAAATGTTATTATAAAGTCTTTTTTCAAAAAATAATTAAAAATAATTAAAAATAACTATAATTATATGACTAATTAGTTAATTAGTAATATTTTACTATATAATATTATTATATTATTATATAAGATATATAATTGAATTACCATATTATTAGAAAAAAATAATTTTTATATAATTATTTTATAATAAAAACCTAAACTTAAATTATTAGATATAATTTTTTGTTATACATAACATATTATTTTAATAAATATATATAAATATATTAGACATAATATATAATTTTCAAATATAGTAACAAAATTATATTTAATAATAATTGTTTTTTAACCAGACAATAAATTATAATAAATTAATTTCATTACTAAAAAAAAGAATTAAGAGAATATTTCCCAATTTTTTCCAAAAAATTCTTAAAACTTTCCAAATTCCTCCTCCAAAATCGATTATAAAAAGTTTTTTCACAGACTTGTTTATTAAAACAAAACAATATATTTAATTTATATTATACACAAGTTAATTATTAATAATTTTAACCAACAATACTTAACTTTGTTTTTATAATAAAATACAAGATAGTCCAAGCACACAGAAAAAGAACTTTCACATCTTCAAAACCCCAGATAAGATGGGAGAGTTAATCCGATCACAGTTAGTCTCATATGGTCAGTTAATCGTGCCCATGAGTGTAGCTGAGGAGACCATTCAATTAATAGGTGAGTTAAATTGTGTTCAATTTGTTGACTTGAATAGTACTGAGTTAAGTTTCAACCGTCGTTATTGCAACGAGTTAAAGCGTTGTGATGAATTAGAGCGGAAAATGCGGTACTTCAATGAGATGATAACCAAAGAGGAAGAACGTCCTGACTTTGGTGGTTTAAAATTCCAGCGCATTTCTGAAGTGTTTGATACGGAGCGGGAGTCCACTGAGAATTTAGAGTTACGGATGGAGTCTTTAGAGAAGGAATTGAAGCAAATAGAGTCTGATTGTACGATCAATGAGAATGAGTTAGAGAAGTTAGAAGAGGGTTTATTAGTCTCAAGTAACATGGACAATTTATTTGAGAACATGGCGGATATCAGTGTTGGTGGTTTGAAGTATGTCATTGGAGTAGTTGAGAAGACCAAATACGATGCCATCCAACGACTGATATGGCGAATCTCACGAGGACTTGTTTTGATTAAATCGACTGATTTGTCGGAGAACTCAAATTTACGGAACTTCTTAGTGTTATTCCAAGGCGATGATTTAGAAGTCCGGATCACCAAGTCGTGTCAATCATTAGGTGTTCGAATGTACACTAAAGTTCCTTTAGATCAGCTTGAACGTCGCAATTTTGTTGAAGAAGCTTTGAATAGTAAACAAACGTTGTCTGAACTCTTTGAAGGGAGTACCAAGCAGAAGCGAGAATTATTAAAGAAAATAGCAATTAAATTAGAAGACTGGAAAGAGACAGTAACACGTGAGAAACTCATTTACTTCACTTTGAATATGTTCCGAGTCGATAGAGGACAAACATTAACAGGAGAGTGTTGGTATCCGTCCGCTCGCTTTGATGATATTGTCCAAAAACTGGGGCAATTGGACCAAAGTAATATGTCCCCCGTGTTCACCCCTATCCCCCCACACCCTAAAGCTATTGTCCCGACTTTTAATAAGACGAATTCGTTCACACAGACCTTCCAAGACTTGACGGATTCATATGGTACGCCGCACTATGGAGAGATCAACACGGCGTGGTTGAATATCGTCACCTTCCCGTGGCTCTTTGGTGTGATGTTTTCCGATTGTGGGCACGGCTTCTTCATCTTCTTGTTTGGCTTGTCGTTCATCATCTTTGCGAAGAAGTTACAAGGGAAAGCGATGAACGACATCTTTGTGATGTTATTTGATGCGCGGTATCTGTTAATGTTGATGGGATTGTACTCGATGTACTGCGGGTGTCTCTTCAACGAGTTCTTTGGGTTCTCCATTGACTTTTTTGGGACTGCGTGGGATGTGAAGAATGAGAGTAAAGGGGTGTACGAGCGTTCTGATAATGGTTACATCTATTACTTTGGAGTTGATCCCATTTGGAAGTCGTCCAACAACGAGTTGTACTATTTGAATTCGCTGAAGATGAAGTTGTCGATCTTAATTGGTGTCTTCCATATGATCTTTGGTATCATTCTGTCGCTCTTCAATTACATCCATATGAAGAAATACATCAACATTTGGTTCCATTGGATCCCTGAGATGATCTTCATGATCTGTTCCTTTGGATATTTGTGCTTCTTAATCATCTTCAAATGGTGTGCGCCGTTCCAAGAAGGTGCGCCAATGCTGACGAACGTCTTTTTGGAGATGTTCCAGAACTTTGGGATTGTCACTGAAGAAAACCATATTTATAGTGGACAGGAAGTCATTGAACCAATTTTGTTGGTGCTGGTCATCATCTCGTTAATCCTCATGTTTGTACCTAAACCAGCGATTTTATATTACCGACTCAGAAAACACCAAAAAGCACTTCCCGAGTGTCGGCCACTCCTTTCAGAAGGAGGGAATACGGAAGAATCGATGTTTGAAGATAATATGGTGCCCCCAGCGACGGATACGGACAGTTTGATATTCCAAGTGAAAGAGGAGAAGAAAGAAAGTGGAGAAGAAGAGGAAGAAGATAATGAAGAAGGAAACTCTTTGATGGAAATCATCATCTTTAACTCGATTCATGGCATCGAATTTGTACTTGGATGTATCTCAAATACAGCATCATATCTCAGACTGTGGGCGTTATCACTCGCACACGCGGAACTTAGCGCTGTCTTCTTGGAGAACGTATTCTACTTGTTGCTCGGGATGAAGATCTGCGTGACTATCTTTGTCGGATTCGCTGTGTGGGCTATGATCACTTTGGCAATTTTAATTGGAATGGAATCACTCTCTGCTTTCTTACATACCCTCAGATTGCACTGGATCGAATTCCAAAATAAGTTCTATGTCGGAGATGGTGTGCCATTCACTCCAATTAAGTTGGAGCCAAGAAAGTCGTTCTTCGATCAAGTTGATAGCAGACAATAAAAGTAATTTACTTTTGATGGGTCATTATTATTATTATCACTCTTTGCTTTCAATACAGTGACTAAACATTAAGTGCAAAGCCACTGACTATCACAAGGTAAAAGAATGTAATTTGATGATATAGACCACTCAGAAACAAGTGCCTGCATTATCATGGTAATCATACATGTTTTTCATCATGGTGGCGATTAGACGACAAATTTTTTTGTTTTTATACCCAACCTTTGTTTTTGACAAATATTTTTTTAATTATTCTAATACTATTAAAACTATACACATTTTGAAAATACCAACTAAAAGTTAACTAATAATATTTATAAATACTTTTATTTCCTATTTTTCTATTTCTATTTTTTTAAAAAGACAATTCTAGTAAATATAATAATTTTATTATAAAATAACTACAATCAATAACGTATATTTTTATACAACAAATAGATAACTGGTCCTTCATTTAAAAATATATTCTTGAATTTGGATTGTTTGTGGAATAAAAAAACAATTTCACATTCTACTTTATGACAAATAGATGAGTATTTAAGTTTAATTATAAAATAGAAACACTTTTGACTGGTATTGTTGATTTACAAAAATATATTGAAATTCATTATCAATTCATTGTATTATAATAAATTAGTTATGTTATTATTAAATAGACAATGTTTAAGAATTAAATAAATTTCTTAATTACTTTTGGCTGGAATTGTTTGAGGTCTTTGTTAAATAAACAAATAGAATAGTTAAAGCCAGTTATTTTATACCTAAATGAGTTAATAGTTATTATTAATTAATTGTGTGAAATAAAGTTTGGAACATATATATAATGATATTATAATTAATAATTTAATTATAATAATATAGTTTAAAAATTGTTATAGTATTTAAAATTCATTTTGTTGCTTTTTTTAAAAACTTTTTTTAATGTTTTTATTAATAAAAATAGGACGAATAACGTTTATTTAATTCTTTAACACAGCTCGAACATCCTCTGGCATCTCAAGAGTCTTTGGTACTTCCCACAAGAAGTCTGGATCATTTCTTCCGAAATGTCCACCAGCTGCAGTTTTCTGGAATATTGGTCTTCTCAATTTAAGGTTCTTAATGATCATACCTGGTCGCATATCGAAGTTCTTGTTGACAATGTCGACGATTTTCTCATCAGGAATAACACCAGTCTTGTATGTGTCAACATAGACACTCAATGGATGTGAAAGACCAATGGCATAACTCAACTGGACAAGTGCTCTCTTGCACAACCCAGCATTCACAAGACTCTTTGCAATCCATCTAGCACAATAAGCCCCACTTCTGTCTACTTTCGATGAATCTTTTCCAGAGAAAGCTCCTCCACCATGAGCCCCCCATCCTCCATATGTGTCAATAATAATCTTTCTTCCAGTGAGTCCAGCATCGCCCATTGGACCTCCAATGACAAATCTTCCACTTGGGTTATAGAATCTGAGTGTGTTGCTATCAATCAACTCCGCTGGAATGACCTTCTTAGTGACTTCTTCTTCGAGTGTCTTAGAAATCTCTTCATTAGTGACTTCCGGAGAGTGTTGTGTAGAGATGACAATGGTGTGGACTCGAATTGGAGTTAAATGTCCGTCATTGTCCTCATACTCCAAAGTGACTTGTGTCTTTGCATCTGGTCTCAGCCATGATATAATTCCCTTCTTCCTGCACTCTTCAAGTCTCATCACTAATTTCGAAGCTAAGACGTGTGTCAATGGCATCATTTCCTTCGATTCATCAGTGGCATATCCAAACATGATACCCTGGTCACCCGCTCCAATGTCTTCGTCTTTCTTAGCCACGTGGACGCCATTAGCAATGTCTGGACTTTGTTGTTCCAAACAAGACAACACTGCACATGTGTGATAATCAAATCCTTTCGACGTGTCGTCGTATCCAATATCCTTCACTACATTTCTAACAATAGACTGAACATCGATTTTGGCAGATGTCGTGATTTCACCTAACAACATGATAATTCCAGTCTTCGTTGCAGTCTCACAAGCTACATATGAATTAGGATCTTGCTTCAAACACGCATCTAAGATGGCATCAGAGACTTGATCACACATCTTGTCTGGGTGCCCAGCTGAAACAGACTCAGACGTGAACAAGAACCTCTTTGGCATTTGAGTAATCAATTTCCAAAAAACGTTTTTATATATTTTGGAAACCCTAACACGTATGCTGTAATAAAAAACTTTGATTTCATCTTCACAACAACAAAAACAATCCACATTTTCTTTAAAAACAAAGTTTATTTTTTTTAATAATTAACTCGTAAATGAGTGATGAATTATTTTAACTTTAATTTTAGTTTGGAGTCGTTTGGTGTTGAAATTTTGGCATTTTTTGGACATTTTCCCGTTTATTTACACATCAAAAAGGCTAAATTAAAGTAAAAATAAAGACTGAAAAAGGGATTTCGCAATTCGGCATTTTGGCATTTTTAAAAGTGAAATTATTTGAAATTTATCGGTTAATAATTTGAATTGATTTTTCAAAATATATATTTAATAAAGCAAACAGTTATCACAAACTATCCGATATAATGAAAAAGAAGGACTTTCAAAAAGCATAACAGTTGTAATTACTTATAAATTGTTTTGAATATGAAAACCGCAAAATAACGGGAAAAATATCCAATATCAGATAAAATGCCATTTTTTGAAGAATTGTTTTTGAAACAATAATGTACCATTTTATATAATTTATTAATAGTTTATTTCAATGAAATAGGAGATTTATAAAGTTTTGTTATAGTTTATTTAAGGGTTAACAAAAACCATTTTATTATAATACCAACTGTTATTATTTTACTGTTATTTTTTTATTATAATCAATCATGTAACGACAATAGTGGATTTTGTTTACCTAATTAATTATAACAAATAGACATAGAAAAAAAAAGAATAATAAAATACAATTGAAAGATTTAAAAACATTTTGTTATGGTTTTTTTATTATCTCATTTATGTTATTGAAATAGTTCGATATTTAATTCTTTTTTTATTAGTTATAATTTCAGTAATAAGCAGTTAAAAATATAATTAACTATTAAATTATAATAAAATTATTATATTATTCAACAATTATTTTTAATTGACTGTTTGTCTGTATGTTGAATTGATTAATATTAATATCAATCAAGTATCAATTAATAATTAAGTTTTATTGTTTTTTTCAAAATAAAAATCTTACGCAATTAAATTATCAAATAACAATAGAAATGACTAAGATATTAATTTATCACAAATGAGTTTTTTGAATCATTTCAAACACAGAAATCTTAGTGAAATTCCCTCTAATTACAAAGGTAAAACAAATAAGATACTGATAGACAAAGAAAAATACCACAACTTATTAACCTTATTATCACGACATGAAAGGAACAATAGATAAGTATCATCGACATGCAAAACAAGAGGGGTATCGCGCGCGTTCCGCTTTCAAGCTGATCGACGTCGAACGGGATTTCCACATCTTTTCGAATGTCCACAAAGTTGTTGATTTATGTGCTGCGCCAGGCAGTTGGAGTCAAGTTTTAAGTTCATCAATTGAGGAGCCACGAACCCTTGTAGCGGTTGATCTTCAAGATATTGCTCCTATCGATGGGGTGACACTTGTTAAGGGTGATATAACAAAAGGCAAGACGGCTAAGGAGGTCATGTCGCATTTCGTTGACGGTAAGGCGGACTTGGTCATCTGTGATGGGGCACCAGACGGTTTGTACTATACGTATTAGTTATTGTATCATAATTTATAATACAATTTCAATCAGTTAGAAATAGAACAATATATAATTCATTTTATTATATTGTTTAACTATACATTTTAATATATTTATAGTTTAAATTATAGTAAAAATAAAGTATATTATATACAAACTATTTTTATAGTACATTATTTTCAACTATTTGTTAAACCATAAATAAATTAAATATTATAATACAATATTACAACTACTCAAACAAAGTGACAGGAGTTCATGACATTGACGAAGCAAACCAATGGATATTGATGCAAGCAGCATTTTCGATCATGGCAGTTGTTTTAAAAAGTGGTGGGTCGTTTGTGGCAAAGATTTTTGTTGAAGGGGAACACCCTCATTTGTATTTCCAGTTCAAATCGGTTTTCGAAAGCGTCACTATTTATAAACCAGACAGCTCTCGTTCCGCCAGTTTTGAACATTTTGTGGTTTGTAAGGGATTTAAAAATGCGGACACGTGTACAATCAAGGACGTCCCTGAAAATCTGGCGGACTTGAGATTGACAAAGAGAGTTATGTCACGGAAAACAGAATCGGTGAAGGTTGAATTAGATTTTTAAGAGAATAATATTGTACTATTTTTAATGGTTAGTTGTATCAAAATGAATAATATATCTAACGTGAAATTGTTAGTGGACTAAAAAAGAAAAATGAATTTGACAATTTCAAACATCAACAACTACGGTGTGATCAATCTGGTGAAAGGCGTTCCAGATTTGAAAACTCAAAAAGAAAAAACCGGATTATTAAATGATTTTCAAAAAGGATGTGGGGAGATTGAATTGCCGGAACGGTGCATCGAGCTATTTAATAGCGAGGTTCATTCATTCGACTCGGAAACACTTTTCAGCACTATAAAGGGGCGTCGTAATGTTCACCTCCTCTTTTGTGTCACAAATAAGAATATAATAGGCATTTTCATCCCTTCAGTACCTCCGAAAATCAATAATAGTTGTTTTTTAGCTTCAAATATCTCCATTTTCAAATTTATTAATGAAAAACGGAAACCTTTAGTTATTCATCAAATAAAAAACGAGGCTCGATGCCAATTTTTTTTCGACGAGAATGACACCGTCATTTCTATTGAAGACGCGTTTACTATTAGAAAATCATTATCTTTAGTTGTGCCAACTATTAAGTTTGCTTTTAAAGGAAATTTTGAGTTCTCTGCAGCTGATTTTGCGTTGGGCGGAACGTTTTCAGTGGAGAGGTTCATCGCATTTTTTACAGAAACGCAAACTTTCGTTGAAACGTTTGAGAATTATGGAAAATGAAATAACATTTTTATATTTTTTGTTATTAAATTAGGTTGAAAATATTTTACACAAAAAAGTCGAAGATGCCAATGAATAGTGACTAAAATTATTTTAGGACTTGAAGGGCTAATTTAAAGAAAAAAAACAAATAAAAAGAAAAAGAAAAAGAAAAAGAAAAAAGAAAAACATTTTCAACCCAAAAATTAATTATGTTATTCACAAGAACTCAAAAAGTTTATGGATTTCTGGTCAACACAAGGCGCTTCGATCGTTTCATCCACAATCGACTCACTGTTAAAAAGTCCCGAGTGCACACTTGAGAAGCTGTTTGACGACGCTCATTACCTTCTTGAGTTGAAGTCAAACACTGATCTAATTGCTTAGTTTGTTAACTATACATTAAAACTATACCTAGAGGTTCAACCATGTGCTATACTAAAACTATTTTATACTATACTTTTTGTTCATACGTAGATACTCTAACTGACAGTGTTCTTCAAGACAACAACGTCGAGAAATGTGTCGAGTACATTTGTACAGACAAGAGTACTTTGGGTGCGATGGCGGCTCAGACCTTCTCACTTGATGTTGAAATCATTCAGACGACTGTTGTTGCGAAAGAAGAGCATATACAAAAACTCTTTAAAACCTTTGTTGATACAGTCGACACGATCATTGTGAATAATTTGGTCACAGTATTCACTGCGTTCCATAAGTACCAAGACTTTGTTTGTTCTCTTTAACTTGTGGTATAGTATTTATTATAATAAAATGTATTATATTTCTAACAATCAGAAGGACCAATTACAAAAATCAACGGAAGTGGTTGACCATTTGTTTAACACTTTGGACCAACCCGTTAAATCGAATTACTTAATATTTTTAATTACTTCACAATTTTTCTCAAAAGGTGTGATGGACCGATTACTGAACCTTGTGGAGTGTGGAAAATTCATTGAACACATTGAACTTATTTTCTATCAAATTATAGATTGGAATACTATAATTACTCAAAGTCTTTATTTAGAATTTACTGCCCGAAATAACACAAATTACTTTGAGGCATTTGAAAAGGAAACTCCCGAAAACAAAGGGAAAATGCTCCACATATTGAGGATTTTATTGCCCCTTGAAAATAGTTTTGTGGTGCCAAAAGAGTTTTTGTCGGTCTTTGAAAATAACGTGGAACGTGTCAAAACTTTTGTTTTAGGGAGTGACGTGAAAAAAGTGAGTGAAAACATCTTATACTTTGCACATCTCGTTTTGTTTGTAGCTCGAAACAACACGTCTTCTTTGATAACAATGAAAGACCAAAAAATCCTCGACATGTTTTTGGAACTCTTTTTAAACCCAACCGTCCAAAGTTCTGTTTTTAGACATTACGTTTTCGATATATTTAATGAGTACAAAAACACGGAAGAATTCCCCAAATATGTGGGAGATCAGAACTTGACAAGGAAATTGATTGAGTTAGACAAGACAACCGTGTCGTTTGTTCTTATAGATAAATAATAAAACAATTAAAAATTAATAGTAACACATAGCGAACACTACAAATATGACATTTTTATGTTTGGCATCAAAATGATGATCATGTTATTCACGTGGACTTCTTCAAAGACGGATTTTCAAGAATTCAATGAATACGTCACATCAGTCGTATTACCACGAGAAGAAAACAAAACGATTTATTTCACTAAGAAACCAACAACTACTTTTTCTCTGAAACAAAATTTTGTTGTTGATGAATACTTAGACAATACTTCACAAAACGAAGGCTGTAATGAAAGCTCTAATAAAGCAAAAAAAAGTGAAGACACTCAAATGAAGTTTGACTTTGACTCTCAAAATTCGTTTGGTTCGTTCGAGTCTTCAAGTCAAGGCAATCCATCAAAAGAACTCAATGAAAAGTCTTTTGACTTCAATGACGTGTCTTTCGGCGATTTCGACTCCGCTCCAAGCGCCGCCGTCTCTGAGAACAAAGACGTTAAGAAAGACAACACTTCATCCCAAAATTTCAACTTCGGGTCTTTCTCTTTTGAGAGTTCAGACTTCTCCGATTTTAAGTGATTTAAACTGGTCATTCAATTCCTTTCAAATCTATATGAGAAAAAATCATTCATTTAACAAAAACATCCGCCGTCCGTCTCTTCACTCGTTTGTGTGATTTTCACTTCGTCTTCTCCTGGATCTACAAATATTGGTTTCAAATTAATTATAGCTTTTAATAACTGTGAAAATGCTTCTTGGACATTAGTGTTGCTAATCTTTAGTTTTGTTCTACTATCAATATACTATTATTATAATAAACTGTTGATAAACTATTATTATACTATTATTATACAATACAATTGTTATACTATAAATATAATATAATTACTATATAATTGTTATACTATGAATATAGTAGAAATTTAATAAAATATAATAAAATACATAACAAACGCTTTACTACTTGTCTCTATATACTCAATGTTGTTTTCCGTCACAAATTTCTCTATAAGCTCCTTTGGCACTCGCGTTGAAGTCCCAATCAAGTCGGACTTGTTTCCAACAAGAAGAATTGGTGGAGTGAATCCCGAAGAAATGCTCCCATAAAACAAGTCGAGCCAGTCCTTGCAATGATCGAAACTTTCTTGTCGGTCGATTTGAAAGACAAGTAAGACGCCTTTAATGTCTTTGAAATAGAGACGAACAAGGGAGTGATACTTCTCTTGACCAGCTGTGTCCCACTATCTTATTAATACCTTAATAGAATTATAATGAGCTTCATTAGTATCACAAACGAGTTGAAGTTGATACAATTTACCATCCACATTCACACTTTTGTCACAAGTTTCAATCCCAATTGTAGCGTCGTATTCGTCGATGTCTATCTCTTACTCCTCTTCTCATGGTAATTCACAAAAATTAATGTAACAAACACGTCCCAAAGCAAAACCGCTGGAGTAATGCTGTCTTCCCAACACCAACATCTCCTATTAATCCTATTTTTAATTTACTTGCCATTGTTTCTGAATTGCAATTGCCATTTTAAAGTTCCTCAGTTCACACATTCGGCTTTTTTATTTTGAATTAAATTAATTTGAAATTTTGAAATTTATTAATTAAAAATGAGAAATGCAGAAGTTACTAAGTTTCCAATTCATCAGTTGACTACATTCCTCCTCTCCCCCTTTAAATACGCTTCAATGTTTTTCCCAACTTCAGACATCAAAACTCGACGAGCTTCTTCACTAGTCCAGCCGATGTGTGGCGTAAAGACGACTTTCTTCATATCTTTCAGAGTAAAGAATGGTGAGTTCTGGTCGATGGGTTCGACCTCATACACGTCCGTCCCATATCCTCCAATGGTATTATTATTAAGAGCTTCTACTATTTCTGCCGTGTTAACAACACCACCTCGAGCAACATTGATGATGACAACGTCTTTCTTCATCTTAAGAAACGCACTCGTCCCAAAGAGGTACTTCGTCTTAGCATTCAGTGGACAATGAATAGTAATAATATCACTCTCGGTCACCATCTCTTCGTAAGTCACTCGACGCATCTTTTCGTCGTCGTGCTTCTCTGTTGTCGAGAAGTAACTGACTTGCGCCCCAAAGGCCTCTGCTATCCTTGACACCTGTCGACCGATTTTCCCATATCCAACTACACACCACTTTTTGTTGCAAATTTCCTTGAAGTCGAAAATCGAATTCTCTTGCATAGAGATGCCCTCTGTTGCGTACTTTGTTGTTGTATACTCCGAGAGTTTGCTGGTGTGATTCAATAACTCGAGAAGTAATGAGAAGGTGACTTGTGCAACGGAATTGGTCGAATAGCCAGGGACGTTAGTAACAACGATATTGTGTTCTTTGCAGTAGTCTATATCTACGTTATTAAAACCAGTGCCCATTACACCTATGTATTTCAACCGTTTTGCTTGAGACATATTCTCGGCGTTCAAGTTGGTACGAATGTTAAGAACTATATCGGCGTCACTAATAAACTTTGGGACTTCCGATTGGGAAGTCACTTGGTGAACGATTACTTTCCCGAAGGGCGTGATAGTGGTGAGGGGAGTGTCTCCCAAAGTCTTATAATCAAGAATTACGATATTGACACCTGACATAATACTTTATGGAGTTTTGACGATTCAAGTTATTTTAAACATCATAAATAATTGTCCAGAAGATTCTATTGATATTGCCATTTTTAATAAAAACTTGAAAACAAAAGTAAAATAAGAAGCTTTGGCAGTCGATTTCTACGATACACCATCGTTCGATAACAAACGAAATGTTACAACATCAATTATTATGGCAGTAACACCTCTTTGTTTTCCATATACAAATTGACACGAGCAACCAAATGACATAACCCTTGGTCAAGCCGGAGGTTTCTGGGCATCATAATTTGCCCATTGATGCTCTCAAAAATATCAATGGGATTCGGTGTTGGCCACTTTTCGGTCGCAACAGTCTCGAAAATGGATTTCGTGATACACACCAACTTCTTGAACGTTTCTTGGTGTTCACAGAGTTCGTCTTTTTGGAAACATTTCGCAATTGCCTCAGCGATCTGGCAATTGCACAAATCACGAACAAATTGTGGTAACCCTTTTGAATCGCCACTCCAGTAAAAAACGTTTGACAATACATCGATTGCACCGAAACAAAGTGGCAGGCAACTACCACTCAACACACTTTCGAAAAACAACAAGTGTTTTCTATTGCTTACAACCACGTTTAAAAGCCGTTGGGCATAAACAGAAGAAGACGAGACAATTCCCAAAAACTTCAAAGCTTCAAACACCGTCTGGGATTCAGAGCATTCGACAATAGAGAATATAACAAAAACAGCCGAGTCCATTGAATTCCAGATTTCATCCGTTTGTCCACACCACGATCTAAGCAATTTAATAGCCCTAACTTTGCACTTTTCGTTGTCATACATAATGACGTTCACAAACGTCTGCATCACTCCGTTTGATAAAGCACTCTCAATAACTTTCGGGAAGTTTTTCGTTGTGTTTTTGATTACGATTAAAAATATGGCCATAACATCCCCAAAAGATTGTTCGAAGTAAGTGAGAGATAGGGAGTACACCAACATGGCAACATCTTCCCTAATGGGAGGTAAATTGTGCGCAACCGCGGCGAGAAAAGATCCAATTGCTTTGAATATGTCTGCGCTTTCAGTTGTCAACCCAAACGCGCAAATGCTTTGAATTTGTAACAGTTGTTGTGGTGAGAGAAACTCGTCTCTCAGATTCTGTCTGTTTTGAAGAATGAGTGCCATTGTGTTGAGGGAAAGTACCAACCTATTTACGTTTGATGTTTGGAAGCAGTTCTCTTTTAATATTTGGAAGAGCCTTGTTGAGACCAACAATGACACCAAAGTGTCATCCAAACACATTGACAAGTCGTGGAGTAATTCTAAAACCCACTCAACGGTAATAATTTGATTCACCTCATTTAGTCTTTTGAGTATTTCGGTTTGGAGTTGTACTGGTATCTGAACATTTCTTGTTGCTATCACTGAGTGAATCATTGAACACCCAACGTTAATATCTCCTTGTGATATGACTGCGAGTCCTGCAGTGATTTCCTACAGGTGATTCAAAGTTAACTTTTCTTTTTTATCTTGGCCCAAAAATAGTTTCATTCCACCAGTAATTCATTATAATTTATTATTACTATTTTTTTATTATAAAACATGGTTTCTCAAATAACAATCACAAACTTGGTTTTGAGTATCACTTAAAGCATTTAAATCATTCAGACGTCTTCGTTTTTCAATTAAACGCGCCCTGTTTTCCGTCCTCAACTTTCTAAGATACTTTAACCCATTTGAAAATGGGTTATTTGGTATTCGATATGACATAATTGATTTTTTTTTCGTTTTTTGAGTTGAACTTTTCTTTTTATTTAATTTAATAAAATATTTTATTTATTTAGTTTTTGTTAAAGAATCATAAAAAAAGTCTTTTTTTGGTTATTTTGTTCAATTATTTGTATTAATGTTTATTAAATGATAAAACTAAAATAAATCATAA